CAATCGGCTAACAATGACATGATAGAATAAGCACTGATCCGATGGTTAAAGCATACATCGGCTGGAGGTCCGATGTCATAAAATCCACAAGATTAGATTAAACGATAAAATCTTTGTTGCGATCGGCTAAATCCAATATGTATACAATTCTTATAAGCCGATGCAAACGTCCAGATAACTCATCGGCTGAAACCCCGATGAAACCCTTATTGGCAGTCAAGAAGCAGGCTAGAGATTATGGTTCTAAGCACGACTTAGTAGATCAAACTTAACTGATGCAGCACTAAGTATGAAAAGGAACATAATATCTACACAATCAAGCCGTTGACTGAGTTTTCAGAGTGGTAGATGCCTAAGCTAATCTAATCTAGCAACACGATTTAGTCGATACCGGCAGAAACCCTAAAACGAGAAGCAACCGATAGAACTAAATTGATATGCTAAGACTAGATTAACAGAGACATATGATAAATAGGTAGGCAAATATATCATCCAAACCAGAGAAATCCAAGAGGTCGAATGTACTGATGCGCCGACGTAAACGATACAATTGCCTGGGCCGGCAGAACATTGGACTTACCCCTTCGCCGGAGATCGAACACTGATGCAGCCCCACGTTAGGCGCCAAGTCCCGCCGGACGATAAAATAAAGTAGAAAAGGTAAAAGGCGGCGATGCGTCGAATTGTATTGATCGTCGAGATAGATTACAATGACACCGGGTGTACATATTTATACCCATGGGTAGATACTAGTCCTTGTAGGACAAGAAATAAACTTTCCTAAAGATAAAAAGAAAACACAAAGTCCTTATCGGACACTAAACATATTTTCTTAAAGATAAAAGGAAACTAACAAACTATTCCTAATTAATAGATACACTTGACATGCCGCATTCTCTTTGAACTCAGTCTCCTCTGGATAAGCTTCCTTTAGTAGATCAATTTCCTTAACCGAATATAGCAAGAATCCGACAATTGACGACTTGGTAACTCTGATCGGCTAATCTCAGGACTTCGAAGCCGATGCTGACTTTAAGCCGATGATTACTCCGGGCTTACCAAATTTCACTGTTAACACATCAAAATTGATGTTATCAAGTCACAAGATCTGATTAGGATTTACTATTTTATAGTTTTTTTAAAAAAATAGAGATTTGAAATGAAAATTTTCACAATGGAAAACCTAGAAAATAAACTAGAATTTGGAATAGAATCCAGAAAATAAAATAAAAACCACAAGCTGGAAACACACGTTTTCCATATTCTCATTAGCTACCATTCAAAATCCTAGAAGAGGGTGTTTGTGAGTGTGTTTTTGTCTTTTTCCCATTATATTTTCCTTGTAATACCTTCTCCTTTATTTCTTGATTAATGAATGATACACATATCTCCTCAGTGTTTAGAAAAAGAAAATCTTGAGCTCCGCCAATAAAATATACATGGGCCGAGGCATCCTAGCTAGATTCTGCCAAAGGCTTATGTTTGTTATTCTCAACTTCTTTCAGAAGGCTTGAGATATTGTGCTAAAAGATCTTAATTAGATTCTTGTTGCATAGTCTATTGTATGCGATTTGATGCTAGATTATTTTGGATTAGTGAATAGTATTGTGCATTATTGCAAACTTTGAATGCAGGGTTAATCTTCTTTCGTATTTATTGTCTGTGATTTAATGTTGATGCTTCCTTTGTTTTGGAGTTATATATTGAGAAGTGGATCTATTATTTGTTGCATGATCTTAGTTCTATCTGCCTGTGGTGGAAATAGTGTCTATTCCTGTGAATGGATTTTTTTCCTTTCATCATCAATGTAACTAGGAAAGTAGTGTTTGCATTGTCTAGTCAAATAGATCCATAGTTTCATCCATTACCCAAAAAATCCATGTTTGCAGTGTTATACTTAGTGCCATGTACTATTATATTTGCATATTTGGTATTTAAGGAATAGTTGCAGAGTACCTATTACCCAACATGCATCCTAGCAATGAATGGTGAGATCTTATTGTACACATCTTGGTATTTGAGATTCTTTTTCTCCTACGTAACATTTTTCCAAATTATGTAGACCGCAAGAAAGTTAAGGAACTGCGTGGTATATGGATTGGGTTATGACCTTTGTGGAACTTCTTTTTAGATTTTTTAGTGTACATACTAATATCATGTAAGTAACATCATGATAAGAATTACTAGTAGGAGTAACAAATTTATTATTCTTTAATTAATATATGATGTGCAAGATGCACAACTAGTGCAAGTAGAAGCTCTGAGTGACATTGACACCAAAGGCCAATTTAAGAAAAATGAGAACAACTATTTGACTTTTAGCCTAATTTACTTGATAATTTGTGCTGGAAAGGGACATCAAGTTTTATTCCTTTGCTATTGTATCTGAGGAGTCAATGTCTAAGATTATTTTATTCTTGGGCACCCCTTTTGCTGTCATAATGTCAAAGGGTGAAAAAAAAATTGAGTGAACTGCTTTGGAAGGACAAAAGATTGCTTTTATTTAAATGATAAATCAGCTGTAGAGAACTAGAGATATCTCTAGGACACATTTGGACTTGTAATTTAAATCTAATTCTTTATAGTTCTATAATTTACTTGCATCAGGTAATTCTATGAACTTCTTAATTGTGCAAGTCTAGTGTTTGTGTCAGTTTTAGTGAACCGTTTTTACGGAGTAGTGACTTTTCTAACTTCAATTCCCCAATATCATTTTCGTTAGTTTTAGTTGAAATATATTTTATCTTTTACTTATATCCTAAAATGTCTATACACTTTTAAAGATCAGTATATGATTTATTAGAAGACTTATTTACATGAATTTACAGTAAAAGGTTGTACACGCTTGATGCTCTCAAACGCCCTTGCATGTAAAGCTATTACGGAATAATTGCAAAAGTAATTTATACTCGATGAATTGTTCGGGCTAACTAGTTCCCAGCAGAACACTCTCTCAAGTGATAAAATTTAATAGTTAGTTACCATGAAACTTAAAGCTGAACTCATTAATTAGATTCATGGCATATTGCCCCTTTCCTTATTTTTCGTTAGCACACTTTTCAAACTATTAAAATGTACGTTTCACATTTTCATGTGAAAGCTTTATATAGAAGTTACTTTTAAAAAATAAATCTATTTTCTAAGTTTTTAATAATTAATATTCAATTAATCATATGTTAATCATGTTTATCGTTTTGCGTACGGTTAGTCTAATGTTTCCAAACGACACTTTAGTTGCCAGTTTTCAATAGAAGTGCTCTTTCAGGGAAAACTAGTGCTAAACGGCAAAATAACGGATGGAAGGCCTTGTCATTACAAGGAAATCATCCTCTGTTTTGTTTGCGATTGAATTAGGAAAGAATATGTGATCTAAAAATCTCCCCTTATGTTTTACAGTTATGCAATGCACATACATTACCTTAACGCTCATGAGCTTCCTTGATCTTCATCTCTAATATTGCCTAGCATTATGACAAAGAGGTAAAGTAATTAACTAACCAAGGTACTCTACAGCTGTTCCTTAAACAAAATTTACCTTGCAAATGCTCTCAATTTAATGGATCCAATGCACAAATACATACATACTAAATCAGCTACAACATTGATTATAGAAATTTGACATATACTAAATCGGCTACAACTTTGATTATAGAAATTTGACATATACTAAATCAGCTACAAATTTGATTATAGAAATTTGACATATACTAAATCAGCTACATCTTTGCATATACAAATCTGAGATACAAAAAAGGAAAAACTTTTGGTCTGTTGAATTTTTCTAGAGACACTTTAAAAATCAGCTGCATTGACCGGATTCTTGCTGAAATTAATGCTACCATCTCTTCAACACCAGTTACATATACATACAAACACAGCATAAATGGCATGCAAGTTGACTGATTTTTACAACAGGACAATTCAGCTGATTTATAGCTCTCTCCGACCCTTGTAAGACTTCTGCAAGAGTCAAAGAGTCTCATGCTTTTCCTGCATCAACACAAAGGATGCTTTCTCATGCATCCACACCATATATTCATCAAAAGTTGTACAAAACCTTGTACACATATCTAACAGAAAAATAGCTGATAAATCGATTGGAGTACTGTAAGAAGGCAATATCTAGTTTGGAAACCCTTAGATCAAAGTGTGCTTGGTATCAATTTTACTAATAATCTTACATTGCTATAAGTCTCATATGTCTTGCATATTAGCAGCATCCTCTGTTGTATCGATCTGTTTAATTTCTACAGAGAACTTTTCAAGTTGATTTTATCTTTTGTACATGTTGGTAAATTGAGGAATTATATATGGGATGCATGAACCATGCATGTATTTAGATTATATTATATAATTCTTTTATAATTTGACACTAGTGGGTATTTGGATAGGCACATGAACAAGAATACTTTATGGCTCAAGTGTACCTCTATCAACATATATAACTAATTGCACCAAATTAAAGTTCGTCTACCTTTTACAATCAAATTACCATTTTAGCAAACATTATCATAGCTTGTCATATATATGTCATTAATAATCATATGTAACCATGCTCATTTTCAAATCTTTTGTTCATGGCAATGCACACGTAGGACATACAGGTAACAAAGAAATATTGATGCATATAAATAATTGTATATTTTAAGACACTATTCAGATTCACATAATTACATACGTAAGTATGTCGTAAATGATCCTACCTACATGGATATCTCGATATATATGCAGTTATTACAACTCGATCAGGTGTTCGAGATACAAGTCATAATTAGTGAAACGCGAGCTGCGAGCTATATTTGATCACATTTAACACGACCCCGTAACAACAAAATAGCCTCCCAACTTCGTAGGAACGGAGCCACTGACATTCGAGCCCACTTTTAGTGAGAGATATATATGGCCAGGTGAGTAAGCTTACCTCCCCACAAGCTTCCAAATGACACATAGACCTGGTATTTTTCACACCTCTCTTTATCTCTCTCTACCATCTTCTCTTAAAAGTCTCCTTTCAAGTTCTTGGTCAAAAGGTGAGGGGAGAAGGGGAGGAGATTTTAGGTGACATCCAAACGAAAAGCTTCAGCCCCCTTCTTTATAGCCTTTTGTTACAAGTATAAAAACAAGGGTGCAAACAGAAGTCAGTTTTGCCATTAATGTCTGATTTTGTATCTTTTGCTAGCAAGAGGGGATGTGCATAGTGTGAGGAGAGAGAGGTACAACAAGAAGAGAGAAATTAAGAGAGCAGTAGTAGAGGTGTGCTGCAGGAGGATGGTCAGGGCCTTCATAAGGGCTTCATGGGGGGCTCCAGAGAGGAAGATCGTCAGCACCACAATCACCTCCCTTCTGAGCTCCCCCTCGGCTTCCGGAGCTCCTCACCGACGACGATGATCGCCTCTTCCTCCATGTAAGACAAGATGTTTGTTTGTTTGTTGCTGAATTATGCTACTAGCCATGAAGCTAATTCAGAGTGTTCCTCGTTTAATTTGCACCTTCTTCAGAGCCCTGCTGGTGTTTTATCCATCTTCAGTTGGTTTCTTGTTTCTTTAGAATAGGAATTTGAAAATTCCAAGCTGATTTATGGTTTTCTTCTTACCCTTTTGGTTTCTTGACATGCATCTTTGCTGATTTTCTCTGCTACTTCAAAGAGATTGAATCATTCTTCTGCTATTGGGGTTTAATTTTCCATTGATTCTTCTTCTGCCGTAGAGGTTTTCTCATCATGTATCTTGCATCTCGCGTCAAGTTTGAATTTTTAATTAATTGTTTTCCAAAATTCAACCATGGACATATGGGGATAATTAGAGAAAGACACGCACAAGCCCCATCAGGGATCACCATATAAGATAGTTTATTGGTTAGTTAGGGATCATGGAAATTGTTTAGCCATGGGCTAAGATAAGGAGAGAAGCTAGACAACAAATCACCAAATACTAGGATATATTTCTTTTCTTTGTATCTTTCAACAAGCAACAAGTAGCTAGATCAGAGATGGTTTTTAATGGTCTTCACATACCGACTCTTCTATCTGCTCCATTAAACAAAAAGTTGTACTCCTCCTACTTGCTTTCTAATGTGTATGCAATATACCTACTGATTCTTGCTTGTTTCACCTTCTAATTTCCTTTCTAGGAGCAAGGAATCGAGCAACTACGACATGGCCGATTTCGATCAAGCTTCGCTTTTTCTCTACCTAGACAGTCATGATCAACAATCCATCCAAGAACAACGACGTACGTTACCGCGAAAAACCTGATACTTACCCAGCTTCTTTTTCCTCCCAAAATACACTGATGATGATGTGTATATATGTGTTAGTAATTCCCTTTTCCTTTTTCCATTTCGTACACCATAATGTTTTGTCCCCTGCCTTTTCCTAGGATATACGTGCGTGTGTGTACATATATATGTATGGATGTATCTCTGATTCTTTTTCTTCTGATTCATGTGTTTTTCTTGTGTTAATTTTTGTTCTCTTTTTCTTCGGATTTGGTATTTCTTTCCGGTGTGAGGAGTGTGACATGTAACAGACTCTCTGACGATGACCCTCTCTCTCTCTGCAAAGAACTTGATCTTAAAGAAGCTATAAATATTCCTTCTTTCCATTTCTCCCCCATTCCTTTCCATTTCCAAGCTTCTCATGTACTCTACTGAATCATAGCCCCAGAAGCATCCCTTCCAACTGTTGTTATACCACCAGTACTACCTGTTGTGTCCTTTCTCTCACCGTGCATATATGCCAGACATGGAGTGAGAAACATATCTAGAGAGAGAGATTTTGTAAACATGTACTCCCTCCATTTCGAAATATTTGACACCATTAACTTTTTAGCATATGTTTGACCGTTCGTCTTATTTAAAAACTTTTGTGAAATATGTAAAATTATATATTTAACAATGAATCAAATGATAGGAAAAAATTAATAATTACTTAAATTTTTTGAATAAGACGAACGATCAAACATGTGCTAAAAAGTCAACGGCGTCAAACATTTTGAAACGGAGGGAGTAATTAATAAGCAGTTTTACTGAAGCAAGAGTAGCTTAGCCTGAACTACTTTCCAGAAGCTTCCTAAAAGTACTGAACCAAATAGCCTTTCTGAATGCTTACATATGCACATTAGTTGCTTGCTAATTGCATGGTTTAATTTGCAGAAACTCTGAACATCTTCCCTTCCCAGCCGATGCATGTAGCCGACCCAGCTCATGAAGCAAAGGTACGTGTGTGTGCATGCATGCATGCAGATCGATTAATTCTTGGACCACATGTGGAGTACTAGTTTTTAGTACTAGTTACTGTCTTCTGAATTTTGACATGTATATATATGTTCAGAGTGCTGGGGTAGCCATGGCCATGCTTCCCAATGGCAACCAGCTGCAGGTTCTTCCTTCTCATCCCAGCAAGAAGCCTGATCAGCAAGGTGGTCAAAAGATTAATTCCAGTGTCCCTACTAATCCACCTGGCCCTAATCTTCCCTTGCCTAACTCTGCCAAGGATAACAAGAATAGTAGCCTCATTAAGGTATTCATCTCTCTCTCTCTCTCTCTCTCTCTCTCTCTCATATCATATTTTTTAGACAATGGATAGAAATATGGCTATATATATGCTGCATATATATATGTATATCCTTTTTTTTTCTCTGTGTGTCTTCTGAAGGGGCCAAAAAAATGTGGCTTGCAGAAGGAAGGAAGCAGCAGTGGGAAGGGTGCAACAACATCCAATGATCCAGAAAGAGAAGGAAGGAGGACACTAGACCCTAAGGTTAGTGAGTCAATCATTCATCCATCCATCCTTTGATACATTTCATGATCTCTCTCTCTCTGCAGGACTTCAACAGCACACAAAAGTGCATAAGAAAGTAATTAGGAGGTTGAACAGTCACTGTCTGCAGGAAATAACCTGCATATTTTATGACTTTTTTTGAGCCTGACAACTTAATTGTGTGAATATGTGTGTATGTATATGCACATGCTGCAGACACTGAGGAGGCTTGCACAGAATAGAGAGGCAGCAAGGAAAAGTAGGCTTAGGAAGAAGGTGAGTGGGTCAACCAAGAAACTCAACAGCTTATTAATTCAAGCTAGAAAGGAATCTCTCCTACATGTACTGTTTGTGTGTGTTTTTGTATATATTTGTGTTTGCAGAAACGTACAATACTCTAGGAAAAGTACAAACATATCTCTTAACAATAATGTTAATATAGATGACATGTATATGTTGTTCACGCAAGTGTTCCCAATATGTATTTTTGTTATCAACTTTATTTTGTTTGCTACATGCATGCATGGAGTGCTAGCTCGCGATTAAATGTACTGACCGACTTTGTGATGTAGTTGTTTTTGGCTCTTTCTTTGGGACTTATGTGCTGAAGGATATACTTATTTTTACTAGCTTTAATGTGAATTTGACCGCCCAACCAATGCAAGAAACATTATCACTTTTCATATGTACATTTCCAATTTCTTTATGGTCTCAGGTGTGAATTATTATGATGGTACTGGCTATTTGAAACATGCATGAGTCTTATATTAAGAATAATGCCCATGATTTTTTTATGTACCATCCTTTAATAATTAGTTATCATCTAAAAAAATCCATTAATTGGCCAGAAAAAAAACCATCAATTAACGTGTCAGTAGAATTTAAGTTAGTAGCAGTTTCTTTTAAAAAAATCGTCTCCGATATTTCATATATTCGTTTTATGGGCACGTACAATAACAAATCCATGGTTTCTGCTAAAATTGGATGTGGATTTATGCTATTTATATTGATGAGTATATATATATACATTGCTTTATTCTTCAGGCTTACATTCAGCAGTTGGAGTCAAGTAGGATTAGGCTAAGCCAGCTTGAACAACAAGTTCACGTGGCAAGAGTACAGGTAAAAAGCTAGGCTTGAAAATGTCTAATTATTAACGAATTAATTATATCTCCCAGTATATTTTTTGGAAACTTACTTCTTTATTTTCTTCTGAAAAATATTTAATTTCTGGCCTCTACATATATTATGCAAGTCCTGACAAATAACTACTATATATGATATTTCAGGGTGCTATGCTGGGTGCTGGAGATCAGCACCAGGGCCTTCCTTCTGGCCCTTCAGCTGGTAATGAGACACTCCAACCTATCTCTCTCTCTTTTTTTTTATCAGTTACTTCCTCCATTCCAAAAGATTGCAACTTTTAGATACCTGAACAAGTATTTTTATAATTAAAAGTTACTATATTTTGGAACAGATAGAGTACTCAATTTTATTACAATTAAGGATATGCCTCTATAATTTAATTAAACAGCATTAATTTTAGTAACAACACAAATCCCGTATTCGATTGTTTTCCTTCGTAAAGTTTTTCTCCTGCTTTATTAATATAATTGGCAGTTTTTCGGCTGGTTCGTTTCGAAAAAGAACACAAATAATTAATAACTATCTCATTGTGATGAGCATATATGCAGCATCGTTGTTTGACCTGGAGTATGGGAGATGGGTGGAGGAGCACAGCAAGCTGATATTCCAGCTGAGGGCAGCCCTGAACGAGCAGATGGCGGACAGCCAGCTGCAGGTGTTCGTCAACGGCGCGATGGCGCAGCACGACGAGCTGCTGAGCCTCAAGGGCGCCATTGCCAGGGCTGACATCTTCCATCTCCTCTGTGGCGTCTGGGCTACCCCCGCCGAACGCTGCTTCCTTTGGCTCGGTGGATTTAGACCCTCTGAGGCCATCAAGGTATATATATATATATATGGTTGTCAAACATTAAATTATTATATTGCTGCTGAACCAATTAAAACGTATTCCCTTCGTTTTTTAATACAGTACATATTTGATAATTCATCGTATCTAAAATATTTTTGTGCAAATGCATAATATATATAAATCAGGCTTAACGTACTTTTACTGGTTAAACAACTAACAAAAAAATAAATGATAATTACGTAATGTTTTGAATAAGACAAATGGTCAAAAGTTAATGCCATCATCTATTAAAAGATTGAGGTAGTATAAGTCGTACGTAATTATATGCATGTAGGATCCTAAACAGATAAGAGTAGAGATTTGGGTCCAGTTTGCGTTGCTACTGATAAATCAGCTTTTTATATAAAAAGACAATTCAATTTGGCTGAATCAACTTTCTGATCAATATGTATTCCCAATATATACCATGATATATACGCAACAGTTCATAATGTGCACCGTACTCTCCAGTTTATAAACAAGTTCACAAACATTTGTATTTAATTTTTTTGAGAAAAAAAAACATTTCTATTTCTTCTGCACCTTTAATTTGTGTATATGCACAGATCTTCTGTTAGATAAGATTTTGCATACGTATATATATGTTGGTGATGTTTTAAAATGTGGAATTATACGAGAGATCGAACAAAAAAAAAGGAGTATCGAGTAGTAAACCATATATAGTTGCACCATTGGCATGCATAGAAACTATGAAATATATATGGTTGGTCCCTCATAGTATCTATCCACGAAAAACATCTTACTTTTGCATGAAAAACTAATATATCGACCTTTCGAGATATAAGAGGCCAAAAGATTAATTCTAGCTTTCACGCTAGTCATTGTTTAATGAAAACTTAAACAACCAAGTACACAGCCATTCTTTTACTTATTCAAGAGCTCAACTAATCCTATCAATATACAGTCTATACAAGCTAACCAGGCCGCGGATATACATTCATATTATCCTTTAATTTTTAATCTGGGGTTAAGTTATTACCAATTTCCTTTCATTACGTACTCGACGAACATACTGGTCCAAATTATAAAGTCAGAAGTTAGTAGTATACGTCCAGCTCTGGGTGGACTTTCCATTATTTCCCTTATTTTATACAAAGTATTTGCTTTCACGAAGTTCTTTGTTTTATATAAAATCTATTTATCTACTACTTCCGTCCATAAATATAAGGGATTATGGATATTTATAAAGGTGTATAGTGAGAATCTCTTATATTTGTGGGTGGGGGAGTAAATTTAATAAATAAAAGGTTCTAATATATTCATGGACTCTCCCTTGAATAATAGAGGCCACCCTTGCTTTTCTAGGATACATAATTAATTGCATATGTATATAAATGGTAGGTTAAGTGTCTTAGTAAACCTAATGCCAAGTGTCAGATTAAGTAACTGCAAACTCGTTTCCATCTGAATGAACTTTCAATGCCTTCCCCTTGTCTTGGTTTGCTGTTGTAGTCTCCACCAACTATACAAGCTTTGAAAACTTTGAATGCTAGCTTGCCCAACTCAACATTTCCCCATTTTACTTGATCAAACAATTAGATAGGTCCCTTAATTGATTCCATAATCGATAGAGATTTGAAAAAGGTTGGCTGATGTGGTAGGAGGTCCAGTTAAGTACTATATAGATGGGAATAGTTATATTTGGATCCATATGAATTTGCTGGGACAGAAGGTATATTGATTGGGGAGTAGGTAATTGGACAGAAACAGGTATGGGAGAGGTTAGATGTGTGATGGGGATGGTTTCCAAATAATAAGATGATGATCCCTGGGTGTTTGGCCCTTCTTCCATTCGTTATTTCTAGCCAATAATTCATTAAATTACCTTGGCCTTCTAGAAGAGATATGATATATCTCATGCATATATGTATGCTCACACTATATAGATGAGGTGAATGGAGTCCATATATTGAACACCTTTATAGTTGGATAATTAGAACACAAACCTCCTGTAAATGTTCCAAAAATAATTAGTAATATAACAGAGATCCTTGCTCTGCTTGGAAATTTTCTTCATTAATTGTAAAGCATTCACATTTCTTTAAAAAAACAGTCTACTTTTGGTCCCCACGATTCTTGTTTGGTTTATTCCCAAAAAGAAAATACCGTTCAGTTTTAATTTACATTATTAAACTTCAAGAATACTACTCCCTCCTTCCCTAAAAGTTTGACACCGTTGAATTTTCTAGACATGTTTGACCGTTCGTCTTATTAAAAACTTTTGTGAAATATGTAAAACTATATGTATATATAAAAGTATATTTAACAATGAATCAAATGATAGGAAAAGAATTAATAATTACTTAAATTTTTTGAATAAGACGAACGGTCAAACATGTTTAAAAAAGTCAATGGCGTCAAACATTTAGGGATGTAGGGAGTACAAACCATCCTGCACGGTACATTTTTTAGGGTTGGTGAAGTGGCATATCCTACATAGTGCATGGTGTGATGATTATGCAAAGAAATTTGTGGGGTTTCCGAAACGATGTTAATTACGTGAATACCACATAACCAAAACTTGTTGTAGTAACTACATAATTTGCACTAGTGATTTTAACAATTGATTGATGAAAAGTAAATGACATTTATTGAAGTAAAGGGTGTAGATTTTGAAACTTGATTGAGCAGATTTTTCTTAGTATATGCATCTGTCCTACATTTTTTCTTCAAACAACCTGAAATTTAATTTTACAAATCTTCAACTGATCATGCATTCATATACGATGTTGTCGCATATATAATTGGGTGATTGGAAGGACTTTTATTCCTCTTTTATCTTTACCACTTATATTCTGCGACTAATCAATTGCTTTGACCTTCTAGAAGGCATCCCTTGATCTGCTCATAATTTGATGCGAGAAGATCACCTGCAACAATATTCTTCTCATAAATAAAACATCCACAAAATTTATGTGTCTTTTCATGTGGACTTTCCATCACATTTATGTTTTGAACTTCTCTAGTACACATTTCAGATGGAATGTACAAATCACTGATTAAATACTGTTCCCCGCACACACTTTCTCTTAGACTTGTCTATATATGGTGTATTGACAATTTTACGTAGTAAATGTACCAAATTTCCGGTAAACAACAAGCTAAGCTAGAACGATATATATGTAATCCAAAATACTCCTTTAATTGGTCTCTAAGTCAGTCCTACCATTAATAACTAATTAATTATATAGGACCATTTTTTCCCTCTATTTTGCTTTGCTTTTCTTTTTTTTTCCAAAAGTTTGCATCTTTCACCGTAGTCCTAGCTTGTACCCTCCCTCTAGGTTAAAAATAATTATCGTATTGGACAAGATCGATGTTAAACTTTAAATTTTTTTACTATAAATAACTTCTAAAATATATACTTGTCTTGAAAACATGGGACTATGTATTGGTTAATCTTAATCATATCCATTTAGAAAATGGCAAATCACAGTCATACTCCAATAAAATCATAGATTTGTTGATACGTCGTGTACGTATATTGTAATAGAAAATAGTAATTAAAATTTATCTTTTGAAGACCATGTTCTGCAGGGTGTATATATATATATATATATATATATTTCCGATCAATTAATAATCTCTCAAAAATAATGTGTGGAAATAATTTGAGATGGATTAATTAATTGAAGTGAATTATATTCTTGGCATGCAGGTGATGCTTAAGCAGGTGGAGCCGTTGTCGGAGGGGCAGCTGATGAGCATCTACGAGCTCCAGCAAGCGGCGAAGGGGACGGAGGACGCCCTCAGCCACGCCATGGACGGCCTCCAGCAGTCGCTCTCCGACACCGTCGCCGCCCCTGACGTCGCCGCCGCCGGCGGCTTCATGGGGCACATGTCCCTCGCCATGAACAAGATCTCCGCTATGGAGGACATCGTCAGGCAGGTATGTTTTGTACAATTAATTCAACTAATATAGTAGTAGTGTCTTATAAAATGTATTTTATTTTATTAGGATAAGCTTTAACTAACGATTAATTTGTTATGCATAAAGTATAATTATTCATAAGTGCTTTTGGTAGATATATCTAATAACATAAGTTTTGCTTCAAAAATTTATAGTATTATAACAAAATAATTGTTGGTCAAAATCGTGTCCTAACAAAACGAAATATGTCATATATTTTAAAAACAAAATTTTTTATTTGCCACTCAAAATTTACGAGTTTCCTTATATGCCATCGAAAATGTGCTATTCCTTTATGTCACTAATTGAACTTTTTCTTCCCATATACGCCATCCGCATCATCATCTTGTGTTATAAGGATGTAAAAGTACAATATTGCCCTTTTAATCTCTTGAGGGGGATGTGTCCACTTGTTTTTTCTCATGTCATCCAAATAATTATAAAAAAATAATCTTTTAATAAGATATAATAATATGTGATATATCGCTTCACAAATATGCAAGTTTAAATTTCACTTTTATAATTTTTTTTGAAAAAGTCAAATTTTGTTGTGAGCACACATATACTGGTTTCCATTAAAATTTATTGTTTTTATTACAACTTGTGAATATCAAATTTGAATTTGAATTTTTTAGACTGATATATCAAATATTAATCTATTTTATCATTAATTTTTAAAAAGTTCATAAATATTTTAATGACTGCAATAATAAGGGGATATCCCCTGAATGGACTAGCAAAAATAATTAATCAACTGTAAGATGAAACAATCATGATCAATATGTATATTGATGATAGCTGAACAGAAGCAGTCGGAAGAACACACGAGTGTGTTTTGTCATTTTGTTGAAAAACTAACAAGGTCAAAGCAGTTTGACCTCGATAGTGGCATATAAAGGATGAAAAATTTCATTGATGCAATATAAGGAAATAGTAATTTTCAATGGCATATAAGGAAATTTGTAAACTTTGAGTGTCAGAATTTTCTCTATTTTAAAATAGAGGGAGCACACAATTACACAAGTGTCACACATGTTTTAATTGGCTAAAAAATATATTCCTGTACAAGTCTATATATATGTTACTGTGATTGGGCGTGGTTGATTGCAATTTGAGTCCGATTAATAATAAGAGAACGTTTTCTGTAAGATCCAACAATTACATGAACATGAGTAAAACTCATCATAGATCATCACAAGGTCATCATCTCGTCATCATATGGTTGTTGAGTGTGTATGCAATAGTCAATTCACCTCCTATATATTAGACGTACACAACCTCGCAGCTGTCAAGTCAAACGTTTACACATAAAATGCATGCACACGGTATAAAATATTTGTATACTCAAACGTTTACCCTGCAGAACATATCTTCAGTCTGTCAAATTAACAAATATGTGTCTTGTATTCTGGGGCACCAATTATCAGAGGAGCTAGCTGGAATAGTATATTTGTGCATGATTGTTGGTTACACATGCACGGTTAAATTATTTAATTAGGAGTGTCAACGGATCGAAATTGAATATTGGTATTCTTTCATGGATATAAATACAAAATAATAGTGCAACATATATAAGGGAATATGTTTAGAATTTTGTAAGGACTAAGAACAAGCTTAAAAGCATATAACACTTGGAAATGTAACACTTCTCCATTAGAAAAACATGCGTATGCATGGATACATCATTCGGTAGATATGTTAACTTAAATTTGCAATGGAAAATAATATCGAAAATATTTTAACCATTTAAATAAACATATACCCATTTTATGTAGGGAACACAATTAACTGATCAATTTACTTGAATTGAAGAAAAACACACACAAAAAATATACCCAACCTCAATCTGCTAATTAAGAAAATGATCATATGAGACTAGATCTCTGTATAAACTCTTCTCAAATCATTAACTTATCCCAAAATTAATTAGAATGATATATGCCAGAATGATACTGATTTTTAATTCAAATGAAAGCTCATCTAATCCCTCTTTTACTTTCTTTTTCATTTGGTAAGGAAATTAAATGTGTTCTTTTTGGGAGAACCTAAAAATTAAAAATGTACTCCTCTGTTCCAACATATAGCATTTCTAGGTTGTTTAGTAGATTTAATTAAGATTAAAGACAAAAGTGGTACCCCTCGTTAAATGAGGGGTGACTGGGGATAAGATCAGAAGAAATTTAAATCGAAGATGATTGATGGAATAAGTAGTACTCTGAATAGTGATAGAAGTGTTTAATATTTTTTTTACATATTTAAAATGCTAAAAGTTCTGATATTTTAAACGGAGGGAGTATATATGTAGTAGTTATTAATGAATAGAAGTCAATAAGTTCCCTCTATATTGATTATTGAGAGCAGGTGCAACTGCTCCTTTCTCCCTTTGGTTGAAACATTACTTTCATCTCAATAGAATCAGCTTGTGAACCTGAGTTATTTCTCAAAATATTTTGTCAACAAGTACTCACCTTTTGTGCAATTGTCTCTTATTTGTACTGCAGGCAGATGGCCTGAGGCAGCAGACCCTGCACAAGCTGCAGCATATGCTGACCATCCGGCAAGCCGCCCGGTGCTTCGTGGCAATCTCCGACTACTTCCACCGCCTACGCGCACTCAGCACACTATGGGTTGCGAGGCCAAGGCCGGAGGAGGGGCCGGCAATGTAGAATAAGTGTCTCAGAGAAGATCAGAACATCAACAACAATGCTTGCAAAATTTAACCTGGTTAAGAATTAGGTAGTTAGCTGCATGCAGTGAATTGAACTAGGGAGCACATTTGAAGAGAGGTGTATGTGAGAGTAATGCTCTCTCAGATGTGTAACTTGCAACTTTGTAAGGTGTATATAGCTTCTTAGGTGTTAGAGAAGAAAAGAAGTAGGGAATAGTGGAAACTTAATTTGAACTTTCTTTTGTTTCTTTTTATCCCTGACTTTTTCTACTTCTTTGCCAGCTATATGTAAGTTCACCTGGAACTACATCATTGATTTGGATAGTGTTTCTAATACTTGCTGGTAACAAAATCATGAGATAAATGCTCTAAGGGGAAAAAAAAACTTCCAGAGTCTCATATCCCCTCTGAAATTTGTTCGCTGATGTTGCGTGTTTGTTCAGTCCTTCCATTCAACCTAATGTATTATTCAAAAGTTTTTCATCAGAGCTCAATTCAAGTTTAACAAAAATTGGAAATAGACCATCAGTGACCTTGTACTAGGAGATGTTCAACAAATGACATCCATCCCAGCTAATTATATTAGGTTCAATTCTGCCCTAGAGGGAGGTTGGGGGTCCGACGCCGCGGTAGCCGAATCCGTTGCTCTCATGGCAAGATCCAGCCGGCATGGGTGGTGATGGCGACGGCAGCGCCATGGCATGGGCATTGTCAGTAGTAGGCTGGTGTCGGTGATGACAGCAGGTGGCCGCTAGAGGGCGTGGCGTGAGGTGGCAAAAGCAAGCGTGGAGGCCGGTGCATATAGTGGGGTCTAGCCGGTGAGGATGATGGCGAACACTGGTCACCCACACCGACAGTAGGGGCTGACGGCAGATGGCAACACAATGGTTAGCATGGGAGCTACCAGACTCAAATCGTCCAAACTAGCCAACCGTACCCCTTTTGATTCTCTAGGGAGCTTCTCCCTTGCTTTTGTTGATTCCTTACGGTCATGGAAAGCACTTTTGGTGAGATGGTGTTGGTGGCAGTTAGGGAAGAGGATGTTCCAGCAATGAGGCTTCGTGAGAGTTGTATCATGGTGGGCTGTAGGAGGTAGCGATGATGTTGTGTTGGAGACCGGCGGGTCTGGGCTGGCCAGTGGTGGGGCGCCGATGCGGCAGAACCTCAGGCTAGCAGAGGTTGTTCAATTGCTGGAGCACTAGGGTGGCGACAACTGGTGCAAGTGTGGGTGCTACAAGCGACAATGACAATGTCTCCAAGAGGCATGGTCCCACCTTGGGGTGTTGTTGGGCTACCATCCTCCCATTCCCTGACAGGATTCTCCAAGTAAAAACCCAGTTCGGATGGATGGGCGACGATGGCACCTAAGGCGTCATTGGAAGCATTGCTTTGGAGGACTTTGTTCCTCGCCTTTGCCATCTCCTCTTAGTTTGGTCTCTGGCAGATTCTTGGTTGTCGTCATCTAATTGGCACGAGGAATGAGCAGATCTTCTTCTCTCGTACCCTCTCCCTCCTCAACCACTCTACGTCAAAGATGGCCAGGAACTCACATTGATGATTTTCTATGCACAGTTGGTGTTTGGCGGGGAATTTGTGACCTCCTTGCAGGTCTAACAGCAATTGGCCACGCTTAGCAATGGCCGGCTTGGTACTAGTGCCTTCTCCTGAGTTGTGTGAGGAACCGCTAGCACGCGGTGGTGGCATGTTTTAGTTTTTTCCTGGTTACAATCTTCAAGGCTTCGTATTTTTTCTGTAGTACGGGTCTTTTTTTTTTTTAAAAAAAAAAGAAAGCCTGGCATGTGTCCATAGACATGAGCCGTGTTAGGGATAACAGGTTAAAAGTCATGCCCGACAACGTTTACCTTAGACTAAGATCACAATGTACTTATATACTACTACTTCTGTTCTTAAGTAGGTGTCCTTAAATGTGTGTAATATAACCTTCAAAAATTAATTAATTAACTAATACAAAAAACATTAGAATTTGACATAAGAAAATGATAGAATTGCCATGAAATGTAATTTCATATGGTTATATTTTTAATTAACAGTTAGAAAAAGTTAATGATGAAACATGTGCATTGGAGATTGTGTCGATGTCCAAAACGGTAGATAAAAAAGAACGGAGGTAGTATGTGATACATGTACACTTGCCACAAACAGTGCATCTCACCATTCAGGTCAAGATACCAGGTCTAAAATCCCTGCACCAAATGAAATTTATAGTCAAAGCCATTTTCTCTCTAGTTAATTTCCTTACTACAACATTCTCAATAATTAATGTTGCATATTTCAACAAATACTAACACTGAAAATACTTAATTATCTGTAGAAGGTCCATGAGTAACCATAGGTATAACTTAATCACCCACATATACATTATGCAAATACAATTTCACACTGTGTTTTTATCTTCTTTACTTTCCATCTATATACTATCGATCTCTTGCAAGTTTTATAAAATTTATTTATTTTTCCATTCTCTTATTTATGTAAACGTACACAAGCCCATCTCTCATTTCCAATCACTCCCTGGTCCCTATGCTTTTATGTTCTCCCAGCCATTGCATTTCAATTGCTCTCCTCCCTTTCACTATCAGAATAAACTTGCTAGAGATCGATTCAAGATGAAAAGGTATGTCATATATTCTTCTGAGATAGCGACGAGTATAGTGATTTCCAATCTTTTTCACTGGTGTCTATTTTGGAAAACTTTGGACCTTATATATCTGTGACCGGGAGTTCAGGAAATAAAAATAACTACTAAACAAAGCTTGTCTTTACACGTTATTCAGATTAGTTAAAACACGTTTGCAATTAAAATGTCATCTGCTACTGTTGCTTCTGCTACTAATACTAGCAATGATAATGATAACATTAATATTAATATAAGTGGATGGTTTCATGAAGTTCAGACATCAAGTATATTATGACGCATTTCTCCAAGGTGAAAATTTCAATCTGGTTTCATTAGCTAAATATAGCAACATCGGTAATTTTGACCGATTCCTTGTTGGAGCTATGGCTCTAGGGCGAGAAATAAGGTATGGCCTTAAATGGTTGCATTGGAGAACATTGACAGAAAAAACTTTGGAAATGGTAGTACGATATAGCGTTCATTAGTTCGAGTAGCCTATACTTTCGAGGCAATTTCAATGTGTTTTGAATTTTCACAGTTTTTAGACATCATGTCTTGTCCCTTAGTTCTTGGAAAGAAGCTATTGCACACTAGCATAAGTTTTCCTAGTCGATCGCTAGTCTAAACATGAAATGTTGATTTGTCATGCTGATTTTTTACTGGTGGAGAAACCATCTTTGATCGGTCGACCCAAATCTACAATAGTCCCGGTTCCATTTAAAACCGGGACTAAAAACGATTTTTAGTCCCGGTTTATAAGAACAACAGGACTAGATGATCTTTATTCCCGGTTTGTATGACCAACTGGGACTAAAAATCATCTTTAGTCCCGGTTGGTAATACCAACCGGGACTAAAGATGATTTTTAGTCCCGGTTGGTTCCATGTCAGACCGTGTCAGGCGTTTAGGATCTTTAGTCCCGGTTTGTAACACCAACCGGAACTAAAGATAGAATTTTTAGTCCCGGTTGGTGTTACAAACCGGGAATAAAAATCAACACGTACTATATAATCCCTATTACTTATCCTCTTTTCTCGTCCACACAACAAACTCTCTCTTTCTTTCTTCCTCTCTAACTCCTGCCTTATCTCTTTCTTCCTTCCCTGCTCTTTCTTCCTTCCTCTCTTCTTTTTGGATCGGGCGGGCCGGGCGGCGGGCGGCGCGGCCGACGTGGCGGCAGCCGGCGCGGCGGCGCGCGGGGCCGCGCGGCGGCGGTGGCGCGCGGGGCCGCACGGCGGGGCGGCGGCCGGCGCGACGCGCGGCGTGGAGGGCCGCGGGGAGGCGCGGCGGCGGGCGGCGGCGCGGAGGGCGGAGGGCGGCGCGGCGGCGTGCGGCGGCGCGGCGGTGGCCGGCTGGCGCGGAGAGGAGGCGGCAGCAGCCGGCCGAGCGGCGCCTCTGTGGTTTTTTTTTAAGAATTTGTGATTTATTGCATGATCCTGTGATGTATTTGATTTGTGTGTGATGTGAACTTGTGATGTATTTGCGATGAATTTTGTAGAACTTGTGATGTAATTTGATTTGTGTAATTTTTTTTAGGATTTATGATGTATTTGATTTATGTGTATAAGTAACTTAAAGATTTGTGATGTGGATTTGGGATGTTACTTTGATTTGGGATTTGGGGATATGCATCCCACTTGATTCGGGAGAAAATAAAAAAGAAAAAAGAGGACCATTTGTACTGCTGTTATTCCCTCTTTAGTCCCGGTTGGTAGATATATCTTTAGTCCCGGTTGGTGTTACCAACCGGGACTAGAGATCGATTTTTACTCCCGGTTATTTCACCCGGGACTAAAGATAGCGATCTTTAGTCCCGGATTCGTAGTCCCGGTTGAAAAACCGGGACTAAAGGGGGGTTACGAACCGGGAGTAAAAACCACTTCTCCACCAGTGTTTATTTTTACCTTTCGTTCTATTTTTCCTCCAATTTTGGTAATCTAAAGGCTACGCGCATTCCTGGTTTGTGCAAAAGTTATTGTCTCATCGATCTCTGATGTGCACTTATTTGTTCCTTTGTACTGAATGCCTGAACAGATGAATGGATTTGTGATAATTATTTGAGGTTACAAACGAGTGAATTAATTATTGTAAGGTTGAAAATTAGATTAAAGAAGTGTTCTAATTCATACTTTTGCAAAATCATACCGTTCATAAGCATGCCCCTTAGTCCATTCATCCATTCCTTGTAAAGGAACAGGGCAACGTGGTGACCATTTCCACTTAAACACCCGATGTCATAAAAGCATATAGTCAATTCCTTGTTACTGAAAGTGTCAAGTTTTACAGGTTAACCACCTCTGCAAGAAAGTTATCTTTCCACTCGACAATTTAATAGGACAAATTATATGTTTCAAAAATCCTGGTGGCCATTTTTCGTATGTCTGAACTCTTGAAAGTTCAAGCCTCTGAATGTTCAGATGTAGCATTCTGACACGGTCTTGGAGACGTGCTTCAAAACTATCGCGGAATAATTGCGTGATACGCGCTGCCCATTGATCGTTAATGTTAGCTGCTTCTGATAACAGTTTTATAATTAAGCAGGTTATAGCTTTGTGCTTAATCAATTATCAAGTTGCATCATATCTGAAAACAAGACGAAAGGGAGATGATGCCATCGCAGAAGACAAATTTGAGACACTTTTGAATTGATTGATGTGAAAGCACATCTTAGGAGAAAGCCTGTTTCTACTTCCCAACATAAATTCAAGAGGAGACACTGGGCCAGGGCAACAACTCTTGCTATCCACATCCTTAATTATTAGCTACGTGTCATTCTTTAGGCATTGCAAATAATGCAATGATTAAATTAAGATAACATGTTGATAATCTTCCTGATTAACGTCTTATCGGATGGATGTAGTGCATGCATTGTCGAGCATAATTTTTGAAGAAAAATACAAGCAGTAGTAATCTAGTGAAAAATGTGACAGGTCACAATTTATTCTCATAAAGTAAAGTCAAATTTAAGAATGAAATTGATAGGTGGTACATGAAAAGCGGGCATCTGCTCCGATGGTCAGGAAATTTGATTTCTGTTGCAATTTTTTTTTCAGTCATGCATCTACCAGATTAAAATGGGTTATCAATATCTGGCATGCATCTACCAAATTCATCCGATATCTCATCTGTTAGTGTTCTGTCATCATAGAGAACTGTTTTTCTGACAGCATTCCATAGGTACCTTACTTACAAAGCAGAAAATATGGAGCATATTGGGATCATTTACTGTAAGATTGCTAACATGGGTATGAATAAACTTCTACAGATTCCAGGTGAACTACTCTAGATTTGCTGAGTTGGGTTACATACGGTTTTGTAACAGGGCAACCAGGATGTTATGCATTACTGCAGATATTCGAAATCTTCAGTTATCCCCACCTGAAATTTCACAAGAGTAAATCAGAACATGAGAACAGAGGAAACTATGAGAAGTGAAAACGCCTTGTTACACAAACAGAGGGTACTAGCGTGAAGGAAAAGCATTGGGGATGCTCAAAAAACCAGCAGCACAACATATGTGAAACTTTAGTTGTGGTGATGTGGAGTGGACAAAGGCCGTGTTTAGTTGTTTTGGCAAAAAAAATTTGACGTATACGGATACACATTTGAAGTATTAAACGTAAACTAATAACAAAACAAATTACAGATTCCGGCTGTAAACTGCGAGACGAATCTATTAAGCCTAATTAATCCGTCATTAGCAAATGTTTACTGTAGCACCACATTGTCAACTCATGGCGTAATAAGGCTCAAAAGATTCGTCTCGCAATTTACATGCAAACTGTGCAATTGGTTTTTTTTACGTCCACATTTAATGCTCCATGCATGTGTCCAAACATTTGATGTGATCGGAAAAGTTGGAAGTTTGAAGGGAACTAATCACAGCAAAAGCTAAACTATTGGATCATCACTCACAAAGATATCAATATTTCTAGAACACTTCTATCAACCCGAGAGAATGACAAGCTTTTGAGTCCTGATATGGAAAGTGACTGGGTTGGGCCGTTGGGGTATGATCACTCAAGCCAGACACATGAAGTGTAGAAGTGTTCTACTGGGCAATGGCTTTGCTCCCTTGCAATTTAGTGACCATTCAAGCCAAGGAAGTTTGAGGGATATCCTTATTGAGGGCGCTTAGCATAACTTACAACATGAAGAAATATTGTACTCATGTGGATATTATAATCAATCCCAGAAGTAACTAGAATAACAAGTTTGGTATGATAGCTAAGAGAAGACAAATAGCACCAAGAACTAATCAAAACAGATGGACATGATTTAGGCTTATCAGTATAGAGTCCAAACAGCAAACAAGTGCAAGCTTTTTAAATAACATCATCAGCATGGCCTCAAAATGCTCATACCCTTAAAACAACATTATTACAAAAAATGCATCCAATACCAATATGTAAGATCTTAGACAAGGAAAAGATATATAGTGCTTGACTAACTGAAACAGGACCTAACAGAACTACAGAAAAGAATATAGTACAGCATGCATACATGATAAAATGCTTGCTGCATTTAATGAGGCTGTTTGAAGGTTCATAGACCCTTTGAATATTTTTTTTCTTACGCCATTTGAGGACCAATACAAACTAATTAATGATCACATCCATGCAGCAATTATTACTAACAACTGATTCACCAAAGCTTAGATCTCTGGATCTTTAGTTCTACAATGGGAACCCAAAAGTTAAGTTGCGAAATGCTATCACTGTTTTCTCTCTAATTTCAATATCCTCAGTTAAGTATGACAGAATTTAAGTTATTTTTTATATATGATCTAGTCTAAAGATACGCAACAAGTACTCAGATGGCCAGGTTGTGGGTCAGTAATGCTAATAAACTATAATAATCGTAAAATAGTTGACCGATCAGTACATGATTGGTGACCAGATACTAACAAATGTCCAGAATTGATTTGTCATTCATGGCTTGATGCCTGATATGGATGGCCTACTGTCAGGTTTGAACAGGACAGACTGTTGCAGACTTCATCAATCTGAATTTTTATGTACAGAACATAATTTTTTTGTTATTACCACCTAGGTTCTTCTTTAAATATGCAGGTTATAACTGAATATATCACTCAGTAATATAGGAAAACATCTCTTGCAAATGACCAGTCTGTCAGATATTCATTGGAAAAAACATGCTAAGATTTTATCATTTGGATATGTATTATTGAAGCGATGGATGATATTATAAGAAAGAAAATGGATGGGTAAGAGGACAGAACCTACCTCCCTGTACATGTGTTCGAGTTGTTCTTTTGCTTGTGGGAAAGTGGTCGAACACCACTGTTGCAGAGTGAAGATATTGTCTGTAGTTACATTCAGAATTCCGTTAGCCTGTTCTGATGATAAACAAGCTGCAGACATATAAATATATAGGGAATGTGACTAGCAAGACCACCGATACCTGTCCATCTGTTAGCTGCCGCATGAGCAACCTCAATAGCATCATCTGTAATTACCATTTTACAGTAGTTAAATTGTGGAACAATTTTGTGCAGGGAATGTCCTAAGCAATGTTAAGTTGCTGCTAAACTTGGATGAAAAAGAGATGCTACATGGAAAGTAATTGACAATTTCACATTGATTGTATCATCAGATAACAGACATGCAAAGGCGTAAATAGAAACAAAAAAGGGATGCGGTATGCCATACTCATTGCCTCTAGTGCTGCTGGATCACTATCAGCATAAGCAGCCAGTTCCTCCTGAAAAACAATGCGAAACAATTGAGTTGTAGATACCTAAATGGAAAAGATAAATTAAATAAAAGACAAGACTGTGAATACACCTTTAACTTCTTGTGGTGTTGCTCTACAGCCTTCAGCTCCTCCAAAGCAGCTTCTCTCTCATCCTAGATCAGTGTATATGAATTGGATTTACATTTTTGTCATAAGGTTGTAGGAAAATGCACAATTACTTACAGAGTCCTCTCTGCCTCTTTTCAAATTCTCTCTCTGCTCAACAAGCTCTATGAAGCGCTTTTTAGAGCTTGAAAGATCAGATTCCAGTTTGCTGTAAGTAGTCCTCAGCTACAAACAGATCCATAGATGGATTAGCTTAAACTATGACAAGTAATGACAAATGAAGGTATTAATGTGCACTAAAAGTTGCAATAAGAAATATATTACTAGTTGCTGCATTTATCCAAGTGATCAACAAAATGACGAAAATCCCTCTTTGCTTGCCTCTATCTTGATGAGTAAACAAAAGCTCTTCTTACCTGTATATTATCCTGATTCTCAAACCACTAGGGTATGCTGCACTAATAGGAATGATTCATGGCAGTTAATACTCTCTTCTGCAAAGCTTCAAAAGCTAGTTGTGATACTAATACATGGAGCCAGCACCACACTATATACTCAGAAAATTAACATAAAAAGTATTTTGTTCTTCGCAAACCTGTAAGAAGAATTTAAAGGACAGAGTGTGCCGTCTAGCTTGCTTACTTTTACTCGTGTTACCAATTGTCATTAGGAAAAAAAAAATATGGTCAGGGGATCTAACTCTTGGTACCGAATTTGTGCCATGTTATCACCGAATAAATAAAATCAGACATGAGAATTGACACATGCAAGGTTAAAGGGGGTAGTAATGGTATAAAAAAATACCTGATTTCCAGCACAGCTGGGAAGACTCCAAAAGTACACCTGTAAGGAAACTATTTAGTTTGAGAAACCAAACGCAAAAGGCACATCGGTGAGGATATGTAAACAAAAAATTAACTAAGAACTGGCCCTTTGCAAAACATGCAGAATGTAGCTACATGAAACTCAGTGCACTAGCTCTTGAAGAATACACAAAAGAAACCTTTCTTGAGTTACAGATGCATCAACTTTGATGAAAAACATTATATGACAAGGCTCCATTACTGAGAAAGCAGTTTGACAAATCTAGGTCCATGGCACAATTTAGATAAGCAGCTACACTTACTGAAGTCCCTATTTTATCTTTCAAGACAAGATCATCATCCACCAGGCTTTGCACAACATCCTTCACTGACTGACTGATGACACCCTTTTTGGGACCCAACTTCTCAAGCTCTTTAAGCTGAAAGCAGAAGTATGGATTGGGACTTAGGACATATGAAAATATAGTCTACTCAGAAACCTAGCAGAACAGCGCTTAGAATAGCAATGTATGGCATGGGCAAACAACAGAAATACATAATAATGACCAGTATGAGCATCTGACCCTAAATTTGTAGTAACAGAAATACAAATGCATCAAAACCTCAACCTGCTGGCACTAATATATGGGTGTATGCTTGCACTAGCATTAATAGTTGCATAATTGTATATCCGAGGATTAGTTCTGAAAATTGATGATTAGTTAGTTTTACTACAAATTGGAACAGATAATGACTTTTCCTGCATACATATAACGAAGCATTGCCATGTCAACTTTACAAACCCAAACCAAAAAAGAAGAAACTGGAAACAAATCACAGTATTAGATTGGCACTTGGGCGCTGATTGGTTTCATTTATTCGCCTACATTATAAAGCATAATAATGCAGCAGCAGAAAGGAATGAAAAGAGCTACTGGGACATCTGCAAACCAGTGCCTCCACATTAGCAGAAGAAACAACATAACCCTTGAATTTGTTACAGATAACTTGCAAACAGCTAATACGGCAATCCTAGGGCAGATATCATGAAATCTTGACAGAAGAACTTACCAGATAGAAGTCTTGACTGTCATAAAATATTTGTAGCATCTGCTCCCTCTTCTCCTCCAAAGAAAGACCCCTCTTCTTCGACTAAGCACCATATGGAGAGCAACAGTTAGAAATTAAACTAAACAAAGGTGGTTGCTAAATACTAAATAGAAGAAAATTTCTGTGCTCATGGACCAAAATAACTTAATGGAACTATCAGTTAGCAAGAGTAGCATTGTAGGCTTTAAACATCTTAAGATCAGTTATATTTCTTATGGCTGTTTCTTCATTCAGACATTTTTAGTGGATGGCAATATGGCATGATGTAAAACATATTCGAATGACAAGACAAATTAAGTCGCGTAGAATACAATTCCATCACATTTCAGCAGCACTGTAAAGATCCACCTACCAGCATTTCAATAAACATCTGACATGCATCAAGACCGTGGTATAGAAACCCTGGTTCCCCCCGCAACAGATACCTCACTATCATTTACAACATGAACATATATATCTATCTGTCAGGGGCGGATCCAACTTGGGAAACTTTTCGGGGAACAAACAAACTGTTACTACGTGTATTAAGAGAGGTTTAAGGCTCTCAAATTAAGGAGGAGAAGAGCTTCTTCCAGATCTAGAAGAGAAGCTAGGGTTAACGAATGAACGCAAGCAAATTCCAGACAAAAGTAGTCCCGATGGGAAAGAGAGAGAGAGAGATGAATCAGAGAAAGAGGATGTGGATGCTCACCATGATCCTCTCCCCTGCTCTGCTCGCCAGATAGAGATCGCCGCCCCTCCCCTGTTCAGCCGCCACTCGTCTTGGCGTTGGCGGCGCAAGGAGCGGGAGATTTTCTTTCTTTTGGGAAGGGGAAGACACTCGGAGACTCTTGCTACTCGGAATTAAGAAGACAAGATTGGTTATATAGCTTCGAAAGTTCACGTTCTCTGGTACTATATACTATCATGTACACGTAAGGCCCGCTGTTATATACTGTGAGTCGTGAGTAGTAACTTCTTAATTACTATATTTTAAAATTTAAAAGTGACAAAAAGTTAAAAGCCCCACACGAGTACCCTCACCTTTATCTCAATATTTTACTACTTTAAGACTAGCTATTTCTTTAAAATGACTAGTGGCCCACATTCTAAAAATTAACAAACTCGGTTAGCGATTTGTGTTGACAACAAACTTCTCGTACTACCATCAACCACTAACTGTTACTCCATACACCGCCACCATCGCTCTTTCTTCATGAGCCACCATCATTCTTCCTCTCCGTTTTTGCATGTGCAACCGCACCCTCTAGTTACCCTCCATAAGCCACTTTTTTCCCTCTCCCTCTCATCATGCACACTATTGCAGGGACTCACGGAGGTAGGAGTCGACCCGATGAAAAGCGGAGACGCTAGATCCAAGCTCCTTCTTCCTGGATCTAGCGGTTCCCCAACCGTCGGAGGGAAAAAGAAAATGGAGAGAGAGAGTTAGTGTGTGGTTGCTAAGTCACTGGACTTGGAGATGGATGAAATATGATGGTCCAAATTGAAATGTAAAGTTAGTTGTTTTGTAAATGAAAAGAATAATATGAAAACTTTTAAGAATAATTTACTTTTTTTTCTTTAACACAATTAAAGATGAGTTGTCTATTACTCTGTAAGTCTGGTGGTGGCATTGTGCGGCACGAGCTGGCGGCAGCGATGGTTTGGGCCGGATTTGAGTCTGTGGTGTAGGCCGAGAGCGGGCGTGGAGGAGATGGCTAGTCTCGGGGCTTCGGCTCTCCCTGGCCGGGCTGGAGAGGGAGAGCTGAGGCTTCGGCCTCCCATGGCCAAAGGTTGAAGACGAAGAGGAAACAAGGAAAAAGAAGAAAGATGAAGGGGCAAAGTGGAAAAAATAGAAATGAGAGAAACGGAAGGAAAGAGAATAAGTGAAAAGGCTGAGAACTTGTAACATACCAAGAATTTCACCTAGAAAAATTTTTGAGCAAAATTTAAAACTTTTTGAAAGCTAATGCATTTGAGAAAATATTAGCTGATTTTAAAGTTAAAATCCTATAAATAAAATAAAACACAAAGTTTTGTTGGGACAAGATTAGAGCTAATCTAAAATTTGATTTTATAAAATCTTGAGTTAATAAACTTCAATTCAAATAAGTTGGTTTAATCTTAAAATGGAAATTTAACCCTTTTGTTTTGCATTTTAACCTAACCAAAATATTTGAACTAAAAGCAAATAGATGGGACTATAAGTTTTAAAATAAGCAAAACCTAAACGGAAATAAATACACTTGGTTGTATGTGCATTTTATTATTTTAGTTTTGTTTTTGGATATTCTTGGTGCATCTCATAATAGGTTTCATATGCATGTCATGTAGAAAGAAAATTCCTAAAAATAAATTAAGCAACAATAAATTGCGCAAAAATTCTCATAAATACTACACAACACCCTTATCTCCCAGTAATTTTACTTTGAATTTATCACAACAGTTGTACCACAAATAAATTCTTCAACACAGCTATAAATCTAAAAACAGCATACCAATTAGCCTACTTTGCACCATCACCAAAATTTAACCATAACTCATCTATCAATGCCCCTTGGTCAGAATGTTAAACACACGTTACTCTACCACCTGGTGCAATGGACTAATTAAATTTGGAAAGAAACCACATGAAATGAAAGACACAAGTTAGATAAACAGTATTTTGATTCCAGTCAATAGATTAACTAGTCAACTTTACTAAATTACCATGGTAACTCAAAAAGTAATTAAATCTTGAAACTTGACACATTGAACCATCAAATCTTTGTCCAACTTGCAGCAACCTTGTCTCCTCTTAATTCTAAAATTAAATGGATGAGAGGATGAGAGTAATCTAGTAAAATAAAATAGTGCCAACACTTAAAAAATAGTCTACTCCTTCCACACCTCTCTCTTGCATGTGGGACCCTGTTCATGTGGGACCCATGTGTCATACACCCACAGCCGACGCATCATCTACTCATCACACATTTAATTTTTCCCTTATTTATTAAAAGGTGAGAGAGAGATTAAAATACAATTCCTACCTAAAGTACTACTCTACCTCTGAAGCCTACCTAGAAAGTATCTACTTGGGCCCATTTGTCATCCATATGCCAGCCTTCTACCCATGTGATCACTCATTTTAATCTATGTATACTTCATCAAAGAGAGAAAGAGAGAGTTAAAGTCCAATTTTCACCCAAGACATCACCATACCTCTTCAATCTTCTAGGAAACATCCACAAGGGACCACTTGACAGGAACTAGAGCTATTTTTGGTGAAGTAGAAGAGATTACACCGCCCTAGATTGAGCCAACCTTTTAAAATCGTGTTAGAGCCAAATGTTGACACCTAGCTCTCACCATGCCACCTCAACTTTCACCATTAAACAAGAAAACTCGCCACTGTAATCTCCATCTCTCCCTCACCGTGTTCCCCTAGGAAAATCCACAAGAACTTCCTCGGAGGAGCCGAGAACTTCGCCCTTTTCTCTCGAACCGAAGATGTTTGATTCGTAGAAATTTTTTTCTGGTGAGCTTCGCCGCATTCCATTCATGTCAACGTGATCTTCTTCCTCTGCCTGATCGATCCATTAATCTGGTCTCCATTTTGGCACAGATCGAGCACCTTGTGCCAAGCTCGACGTCGCTCTCGGTGTCCAGAGCGCCCGCTGACCGAGCCCTCGCGCCACGAGCGTCGCCAAGGTACTAGTAGGCTACCCACCAAGGGAATCAAGCTGGGGAGCTCCCAATCGCGAGATCGAACCTTTCTTCCTCAAGTCCGGCCGCCGGCTATCGTCGTCAATTCATCGTTCTCGGGTGAGCTTCGGTGCAATTCCTCGCTCGAGTAGTATCTCTAGGGCATCTCTAATCCATTCCCCTTCTCTCCCTGGCAGCCGGAAGACCGGAGGAAGCCGACGTCGTCGCACTGCTGTTTTCCGCCGCCGCCGGAGCGTTCCTCGGTTCTCCATCGCTGTCCAAGCTTCGCCGGAGCACACACGACCTCAAGTGAGTCTCCAGGAGTCCCGTAGAGGCACATGCATGCTCTAAATGGCACCTCACCCCGAAGCACACCGCCGCTCGCGCTGCCGCCGTCGTTGACACCGACCACCGCAGCCCGCGAAAACACTACCACTAGCTTCGCCATAATCTGCTGCATGTTTTTGATTTTGGTCGCCCGAAGAGATTGGCCGCCGTTCGCCGCCGGCGACGGCGAAAAGTTTGCCGACCGCCGCCGCTCCGCATCTCCCTGCCACTTTCTCACTGACAAGCGGGACCCACTTCATTAGGTGCTAAGGATTTGATTAGTACGAGTTTAAATCTTGTAGGATCTTATTTGTAAATGTTCTCTGCATGACTTGTGGACCCTCGGAGCTAAATGCAATTCATTTAAAGCTCAGGAACCTTTCTGTATATTGGTCTCAGTCAATGACTCGTGGACCCATCCTTTTAGAATCTGAAAATACTAAAGAAAATGCCTTAGTGAATATCTAATCAACAGAAAAATAGGTTAAATTATAAACTGCATATAAAATACATCTTAGCTCCAATCTGGATGAACTAAATTTCTGTAGATTCACCAAGTTATGAACTTTAATATGGAACTATAAAACTTGGCACTTACAGTAGAAGAAATAGCTCTAATAATTCACATAAGAAATAATGAACATAGGGCAATCTCCAACTTAGAAAATTCATATAAAATTTATCTTAACTCAATTTGGAGTGAGACAAGTTCCAGTGTGCTCACAAAACCATACTCTTAATTTTCATGAACTAAAACTTAATACCTTCTGTAGTACAAATATTACCAAATATCTATCTATTAAAATAACTAGTGTAGTGAAAACTAGAAACTATAAAATCCATAAGTAATTCATTTTAACTCTAAATGGGCAAAACTAAATTTTTTTTAGTTTCGCAGAAGTATGCACTTTAGATATATAGACTAATCTCTAGGTGGAACCATATCCAAAACAAAACTAAAATTCGAAATAACTAATAAAAACTATAGCAAATGATCTAGCTTGTATAGTTTATAATAAAATCATGCTAACTCTAAAAATGGTGAAACGAATTTTGTTGAACTCCTAAGAACATCCCCTTTACTGCAGTAACCCAGCACTTCACAAAACATGACCCTAAAATGTACCTAAGGTCTAATAGAATTTAATAATCTAGTGCTAGTATTAAAACTTTGAAAATTAATAACTCACAAATGCAAAGCAATAAAATAAAAATTCTTTCACCACAAATCCTATCCACACAGTATCTGTGCATGGTAGAAAACTCATGCATTTTAGAGCATTTTGTATTTTTAGTATATTTTGGTACTTATTTGCATACCGTGTTATTTGTATAGATTATTGCATTGACAGTGAAGGAGTGAATTAAAATGCTATCTAATTTCTCAAGATTAAGGCAAGTTCTCCTCCCATCCTTTGATCACATTGAATCCCATGATTTGAGGAATGAAAATATTTGTTTGCAAAGTTGCATATGAACTTAGACTATATCGGTATTTTAAAACTTGGTTATGGTAGTTATGTCCTATTTGCTGCATATTCCTCCTTGAATAATTGTGATCCTTATTGTTTGTACCCCTAGAAATGGTTAGAGTACACTCATTGTGCTCAAATGGGTGTATATATGCTCTATATGCAACTACTTACTTAGCCATGCTTAGAATTATGCAAAGTACTTATTTCATCTATTATTAAAATGTGATTTTGATATATGAACACTTGTTGGAATAAAATGAATATGTTGGATATTTGCGAACTAAAATGTGTAAAATGTGTAAAATGTGGTTTTAGATCCGGGCGGCAAGAGGTATGCATATGGTATTAATTGCATACCGATAGGGGGAGTGTTTGCCCAAGTCCATAAGGACCGAAGTTGTGTCACCAACTTAAAATTAACCGTACATCCACATGTGCTAGTATGGGATGGCCTTAGCTCATTAAGTTGTTTATTATTTATCCTTGCATTAGGGAGGCCGTTGTAGTAGCGATCGTACCTACTAGTGAACTGTAGGGCTATTTGTGTTTATGTAAATTGCAAAGGGGACGATTGTACCGATCCGCCTTTTATGTGTATGATGTTTATGAGGGGATGACTGTAACGTTCCGCCTCACTTTTATTTATGGTTTGATAGGGAACGACTGTGTTGTTCCGCGTGAGGGGACGACTGAAATGTTCCGCCTCACGTACAACGTTGAGTGCCACATAGGAAGCGATTGTACCGGCTTGTCTATGGTGTTATATTGGTAAAGATCTCCCCACTATAATAACATTAAGATTCTAGACTTAGTGTGGAACAACACTCATCGTGCTCATGCAAGGATTAGATAATAAATAATGTAAAGGCTTCGTTATGATCTCTAGACCACATTCACCATGAAGAGTGTGCTAGTGCGTCGCGAGCACGAAACAAACTAGAGTGTTCATATCATGTGGGTAAAGCTGTACAAACTCTGTAGAGTCTAAAAACTAATCGATTAGCCGTGCTCATGGTCATGAGCGCTTGGTGAAGTGTCATGAGTATAGACTTATGTTTTAAAATGTGTTATGAAACTTGGGTTTGGAATGGGTGAAAAGTGTTGAGTTGTGTAAGTGTGATGATAATTATATGACTTGTCGTCAAGGAAGACAACAAGAGTATGCTTATGATGATATAATGATATTTATGATGAACTTAAAAAATGTTTTGTTAACTGAATCATCAACTTCTTTACAAAAGTATTGTGAAACAAAACTTGCTTTATGCTGAAATTGAACTACATATTGCCCTCCTTTGAATATATGCCTTACATGTAGTATGTTATGATTGTCTTGTGCTTGCTGCTTGCCAGTATATTAATTTGATTAATGTACTGATTCTTGCTGTTGAGTTAACCTTTTGCTTGCAGGTTTTAGAGTTAGTCTTTGAGTGATGCGGGTTTCGATTGCTTCTTCTAGGATGAGAACTTAATGGATGAACCCTTAGTCGATGTGCTTGTGTTTGGTAGTCAAGCTTCCGTTGTTCCCTAATATGTCTACTTGGCCGGTCGGCCTATGTATCTATTAAGTAGTTGTAACCTGAATTTTATTTGCTTTAGATGTGTTTGCTATGTATGTCGATGCTTAAGATGAAAGTGTGAATCTAGTGCACATCCTCGGAATTAAATTCACATGAGTATGAGTTAAGAATATTTGAGATGTTGTAGATCTTTAGCTATTTTTGTCAAGTCTCATGAATGTATAACACATCTGATCGCCACCTTCGAGTGGTTTGATGGGCACATCTCAGGCTGAAGTTGACTGGCAGGCTAAAGGTCTAGCAATGTTTCCAATATTTTTCTCTCGAGGCGTCGGATATTTCATTATGCTTGTTTGATGACTTGAATTATTCACTTCATCTCTCAAATATAGTGTTAATCTCTCAAATATAGTGGAAGGTCCGGAGAGCCTATGATTGGACTTTTTCGGAAAATTTCAAATTTAGAATATTTGGAATTTTAAGAGGATTTAGGCAAATAAGAATTGAATAGGAACATTTTGGATTTGTGTGGAATTTGATTAGCAGTTTGAGCTCCACATCCAAAATACAAATCAAATCCAAATAACTTTAATTAAGAAGAGACAACACCAACGATGTAATTAATTAATTGATTAATCACATTACATCATTTTGGTTAACGATATTTTCATAAAGCTAAATCTAGGCAAACAAACCAAAGGTGAATTTTCGCAATTGTGCGAAAATAACAGAAGATGAAAAAGTGATGGTGTAACATGGCATGACCAAATTGCCCCCTCTTTCTCTTTCTCTTCATCTTCCTCCCTATTCCTCGTGAGTAGATCGACCGTTGCTCAAAGATGCTCTCTCTTCACTATTTGTCTGTTGATATGTATTTTAGATAAGTGAATCTTTCGATGCTCAAAATCTCAATACGCCCTACTTTATCTAATTATTGTCACGGCCGGAGCTTTCCCTTGCCTTAGGTTCCAAATCACTAATAAATGACTTCAACAAATTGCTTTGGTTAACCAGGAGAAAACCCTGGTTAACAATGCATTTAATAATCGGAATTGCTAGGGAGAATATTTTTTGAATTCTCTTTGCTCTGAAAATCACTAACAAGACTTAAAGAGTAAATATCAGATCACCGGAGGCAAAGTTGCTAAGTTAAAAATGTCAAGATAATAAGTTTCTTCCTTTGCCTTTGGTCGTGAATCGTGCCCAATTCACTCCCCTCTCAGTCCGCGGTTTCGTTTTGCCTGACGAACTGTATCCGTGTGCGTTCGCAGGACTATTTCCTTTCTTTTCCTAAAACGACACCGCTTTGTTTTTCCTTTTTGGGAAAGTCCTAGCCTCTTTGTTTCCTCTCCCCTTTCCCTCCCCCAGCCGTCCGTGCCCTCCCCCTCTCCCCCTTGAGTCGGACTCCCTCCCCTCCTCCCAGTCCTACTCCCTCTAGGACTCCTCCTTTCCTAATCTAGTCCTCCCCTATTTAAATGTATCCCCCGTTTTTCTTTCTTTTTCCTCCCGTTAGCTGCCGCCACCCTATCTAGCCCCCGCCGTCGCCGTCTCCACCGTCGTCGCCCTCGCATCCCTCTCAATTGAATTGGTTAAACCAAATGTCAATTGTTTCCCCGTCTAACCTAGCCTGTCGTGTCCTCTCTAGCGCCGCTGCCGCCGTCGATCTTGTGCTTGCCGCCGGACCGCCACCGCCGTCGTCGTGCTCCCTCACCGGTTTGCTCCCCGGTGAGAACCTTCCTCCTGTTTTAGGGTTTTGTTTCCGTGAGTCGTAGTTGGCCGAGTCGTCGTCGCTGCCACCCTAGCCGCCCTAGCCACCGCTGCCACGTGCTGCCCTAGCCGCTGTCGCGCCACCCGCCGATGCCGCGTGCCGCGCCGAGCCATCGAGCTGCTGCCGCCTAGCCACTGCCGCTGCCGAGCCACTATCGAACTGCCGCCGTTGCGCCGCGTGCCTCCGCCGTGCGTCTTTGCCTAGCAGCCGCTTTAGCCCATAGCTCGGTAGTTGAGTTGTCTAGCCATAGGTGAAACCCTAGGTTCCTACCGGCCTATCGTTTGCCGTACCAGGACTTTACCGTGAATCGTGTCTAGCCCGCCGGTTTAGCCACAGTCGTTGTTGAGTCATCCACTCATTCGCTCGAACGAGGTGTTCCCCTGTAGTTCGTTCGTTCGTCCGTCCTGAGTCATCCTTTAGTTAGAGCCGTTCGGAGCCGTCGGTTCCGTTTGCCGGTTTTGGTTGATCATTTGGGTGAAATTCATAACTAAATAATCTGAGCTCCGTTTTAACCCATTCAAATTGTAGTGAACATGTTACAATGTCAAGAATCCATTAAAATTGGTTTCTTTTGCTTTTCAGTAGCTTCTTAGCTTGTATTTATTGTGTGACTTGTTTGTCGTTTAGACTCTGGCAGTTCCGACACTCCAATTTATTTTGAAGTGGTCACCGAGGTCCCGTCAGCTCAAGAGTAAGGCAAGTCATACCGATATCATTGATCATATTGAGCATATTTGCAAAACCCCTGCTTTTCTCTTAAAACAGCATTATTGTTATAATGTCATGTGGGATGGTTTTTACCCGTACTCAGCCTTTTGAATACCTTGATTCGTTGATAGCCCAGGATAATAATTTGACTAGATGATTGGTCTAGGATTGCTTAGCCATGCTTAGATCAACTAGCTCACAATGGGATTCACTATAATTTAGTACTTAATTTTATGATGATGTTATGCCATCTTGGCATATGGTTAATTAATTAAAATATGCTTTACTTGGTGGGTCGTGGGTACAGGCATGATTTATTTGGTGGTCGTGCTCATGACAATTAAGGACTGGTTATCGGGAATCCCTGGAAGATATATCCGTACTAACCACAAGCCAGATGGGCTCCAGGCTGAATCATGAGTATAACTTAACCTAGGTGACGTACCATGGCAAGGGTGGGCGTGATGGAGTATGGATGGACATGGATTTTGGTCTATGCAGCTTCCGGATTTACCTAGGCACGAGAGGGGACTGCCCGACTTGGAATAAGGAGGGGGTGAAACCTGAGGTGGGTATGTTCGGTTAGGAGAGTAATATGATGGGTTTTGTCACAATCACTTGACATGGTAACATGTTCATGATGGGTGCATGATGACATGGTGACATATCGGTGGGTTGTGTCTTGTGGGTAAAGTTGTACACCTCTAATCAAAGTAAAACTATTCGAATAGCCGTGCTCGCGGTTATTGTGCGGTCAACCAGCTCACTGTGATTAGTCTCGCCTTAATAATTTGACTTAATGAACTGGTGTAGTTCATGTGGTTTTGGTTGGGGCCTGTCGCAACGTGGTTTAGCATTAGACAGTGATGATATTAATATTGCTTAATTATCTACTGTTTTACTTCTTTCAATTATGATTTATAAATGTTGTTTTTACTGCAAAATAACCCTATGAGCCAATCCTTTGTTTACCCTTGCATCATACCTTCCCCTTGGTATGACTTGTTGAGTACGGTGGTTGTACTTAGTCTTGCTTTATTTTTCCCAATCCCCAGAAGCTGAGAATCTGTCAGATGGTGAGTTCTATGAAGATTAGGCTTGTGCCCGCCGTCAAGAGTTTGTCTGTGGAGTATGGAGGAAGCTGCGCTTTACTGAGAAGATTAAGTCAAGTTCTCTAGTTTTTTCACCACGTATGGGTTTTATTTTGTTATTTTTGTAAGATGTGAAATTGTATCAAATTGTCATATGTGTACTCTGGTTGATGCCTGGAGCCCTAGACATGGGTTAAATGCACAGATAGCCGGTGATTCGGGTTGTCGAATCCCTAGACGCGACAATTATATGTCCCACCTAGTATCTCGGAGACATTGCAACAAGTTGTCATCCATTTTTAGTAATACCAATAAAATCTAGATAATGATGATATCCACTAAATTTGTTATCATTAAGTTATTATAAAAATAGCAAGACAATATGCCACTAGCTCTAGATGTCTCTTTAAGACCTAGGATGACATTGTGATACATTGTAATCCATTATTAGCATTGGCCGTAAAATAGAAATGATAAGATTATCCACCATTTTGTTGCCATTGATTTATTACAAAGATGACATTAGGATAAGTCTGAATTTGGATGATATTAATGCTGCCAATATTAAATTCAGCTATCTATTGCAATTGTGCAATATAAATATATATATATATATATATATATATATATATATATATCACCAAGCAGAAATAACAAGATACACAAGCTCATACAGATTAAGCAAATGGGCAAGCAAATGAAGCATTGTAGCCAAGGATTCTTGGTTTTGTCCTTGATTCTTCTGGGATGTTTTACCATTCCTGTTATTCGTTCTCAAGGTGAAATTTAGTGTTTATTTTGAGTTATTTCATCATCTCAAGTAGTCAGTGTATAGTAAGAAAACAAATCTTCCCCCATTCTATTTTTTTTTCAAATTCCATGCAGGCCTTCTTCAAACATCCATGCATTTTGTATTTTTATGTTTTCATTATAAAATTGTTTGCTTTGATCTTTAACATAAAAATATGGATTACACAGGGAATGGAATAAGGAACGGGGAAAGCTACGGGATCGACATCAATAATGTGACAGCTTGCATCAGAAAACCTTTCTCATCGCAATTCTGTTGTCAGAACAAAAACAGCCCGAATCTCGGCAGGTGCTACGGCAGTGTGTCAGATTGCCAATCCAATTGCCCTAATGATCTTGATCCTCATGTGTGATCAACTGCTCCTACTTATAATCTCAAAGTCATTATAACAAGATAATAATATTGTCCAATATTCATCTATCCATAGATTAAACTGTGTTTACCGATAAACGGGGTCTACATTTTTGCAACAATCGGACAAAAATGTAGACCCCGTACATCTATTTGATGAGTTGCATAAACGTAGTTACAACCTTTTGGCCTTGATTTTTGAGTTATGGTTTAGCAAAATAATCTATCTTGCACTCTGAAAACAAAAGTTGTTCATAGATTTTAAAAGTGGATTATGTTTCGCTATTTCTTTAACATAAGTATAAGACTTATTTTGGTGCCGTTGATCAACCTAAGGAAAATTGATCTA